TGGATTTTTTAAGAGTTCTTTGTATATTTTGGATAAAAGTCCTTTATTGGATATCTTTTACAAATATTTTCTCCCAGTCCCTGTCTTGTCATCTGATTCTCTTGACATATTTTACAGAACAGAAATTCTTAATTTTAGTGAAATCCATTTTATTTGTTTCCACCAAATTGTATGTTTTTAATTCAATCTTTATTGTATTTTCTCCATTACCATTTTTATATCTCTCATTGTCCACATCCATGAGCCCCTTTTCCTTTTTGCTCAGTCCCTCCAGCCTCTAATATCCCCACCCCACTAGCTGTCATCTGCTGTCTCTGAGTCTGTCCCTGTTTTGCTTGTTAGTTCAGTTTCTTCATTAGATTCCACATATGAGTGAAATCATGTGGAATTTGTCTTCCTGTGACTGACTTATCCATTTTATCATTTATTTCTTTCATGTATCAACATTATTGACCTCGTATCCCACAACTTTGCTATAATCATTAACTAGTTGCAGGAGTTATTTTGTTGTTGATTCTTTTGTATTTTTTACATAGGCGATCATGTTACTTATGAATAAAGGCAGTTTTATTTCTTTCCTAAACTATATCTTTATTTTCTTATTGCATTAGCTAGAAATTTACTATGGTATTTAAAAGGAGTGATGGGAGGGGACATTCAGGTTTCTTGCCATTAATTTTGAGGTTAGTAATTTTTTTGTAGATATTCTTTATAAGCCAAGGAAATTCTCTGCTATCCCTAGATTACTGAGAGTTGCTTTTATAAATGGGTGTTGGATTTTTGTTAAATTCTTTTTCTCTATCTATTGATGAGATCGTGTAATTTATCTTTTTTACTTTGTCGATGGATTACATTAATTGATTTTTTTTAATATTGAACGAGCCTTATATAGAATAGGATAAATCCCATGTGGTCATAATGTATAATTCTTTTTATACACTGTTGGATTTAACTTGCTAATATTTTGTTGAGGATTTTTGCATCAATGCTTATTTGAGGTACTGGTCTATAGTGTTGTGGGACTTGTTTTGTTTTGTTTTGTTTTGTTGTCTGGTTTTAGTATGGGGGTAATATTAGCTCATAGAATGAGTTAGGAAGTCTTTGGAAGTATTTGGATCTTGTTTGGATCTTCCGTAGGAGATTGTAGAAAATTGGTATAATTTATTCCTTAACTGTTCGTTAGAATTCACTAGTGAATCCATCTGAATCTGGTGGTGTTTTGAAAGGGTAATGATTCAACTTCTTTAATAGATACAGACCTCTTCATATTGTCTGTTGAGTTTTGGGAGATAGTGGCTTTCAAGGAATCAGGTTCATCTAGGCTATCAAATTTGTGGGTATAGAGTTGTTCATAATATTCTTTTATTATCCTTTTAATTTCCATGGGATCTGTAGTGATATTTCCTCTTTCATTTCTGGTATCAGTAATCTTTCCTCTTTTTCTTAGGTAGCCAGACTAGATAAAGGCTTTTCAATATTGTTGATCTTTTCAAAGAACTAGTTTTTGAGTTCATTAGTACTCCTTTGATTTCTATTCTAATTCTACTCTTTTCTTCTTATTTTGGATTTAATCTTTTTCTGCTTTGCTAAGGTGGGAACTTAACAGTACCGATTTTAGATGTTTCTGCCTTTTCAGTGCTATCAGTTTCTGTCTAAGCATTTGTTTCACCATGTCCCACCAAGTTTGGTAAGTTTTTATTCCATTTAGTTAAAAAGTACCTTTTAATTTTTTTTAGATTTGTTTTTGACCCATATATTATTCAGAAGCATGTTATGTAATCTACATATATATTGGGATTTTAAAATCCTTTTCTGTCAGCCATTTCTAGTTTAATTGCTTTGTAGTCTGAGACCAAACATTGTATGAATTCATTTTTTTAAATTTTGTGAAAAGTCTGGTTTTTGGCCCAGAATGTGATCTGTCTGGGTTAATGTTCCATGTGAGTTTGAGAATAATGTATATTCTGCTGTTGCTGGGTGAAGTAGTCTATAGATGTCAGTTATATCCACTTGATTGATGGTTATTGAGTTCAGTTTTGTCCTTAGTGATTTCCTGCCTGTGGGATGTCTAGTTTCTGATAAAGGGGTGTTGAACTCTCCAGTGTGATAGTGGGTGCATCTTTGCTTCAGTAATTTGTCACTCTTTTGTTAAGCACACACTTGCTAAAGATTGTTTTGTCTTGGAGAATTGACCCCTTTATCTTCATGTAATGCCCTTTATTATCATTGTTAACTTCTTGCTTTGACATCTATTCAGAAGTTAATGCAACTACTTCCACTTCCTTTTGATTAGTGTTAGTATAGTATATTCTCCATCCATTAACTTTTATTTTATGTATTTCTTTCTATTTATAGTGTGTTTTATATAGACAGCATATAGTTAGGTATTATTTTTTTATTCACTCTGGCAGTCTTGTCTTTTAATTAGTATATATAGGCCATTAATGTTCAAAGAGATCATTGATATAATTGATATAATCTCTATCAAATTTTCTATAGTTTTCTATTTGTTACCCTTATTCTTATTCTACTTTTGTTTTCCCCTTTGCCAAAGTATTTGGTGCATTTATTAAACATTTTATATGATTTCATTTTCTCTTCTTTTTCACATATCAGTTATACTTTTTAAAAAACTTTTCAGTGGTTGCTCAACAGTTATGATTACTTCATGTCCTTTTCAAATAACACCAAACCACTTTACAGGTAGTACAGGTTATCTTATAATAACAAAATAATCCTCATCCCTCCTTCCCATCCCTGTACCCTTGCTGTTATTTATTTTGCTATATATAAGCATATATATGTATATGTATATGTATATATAATCATACATTATCAAATTATTACTATATTTTAGAAAAAACTTTGTTAGATTAATTAAGAAGAAAAATAAAAGGTTATTTTCAATTTTTTTTTATGCTCTTCCATTTTTATTTAGATTTGAGTTTCTGGCCTATATTATTTTCCTTCTCTTTAAATTTAGAACTTTTATTACCATTTCTTGTGTGGCAGGTCAGTTGTCAACAAATTCCCTCCGTTTTCGTTTGCTTGAGAAAATCTTTATATCTCTCTCTTTTACTTTAAAAATATTTTTAAAAGATTTTATTTATTTACATTTGTAGAAGGAGAGGAAGGGAGGGAGAAATAGAGGGAGAGAAATATCAGTGTGGTAGAGATATATTGATCAGTTGCCTCTCACATGCCCCCAGCAAGGGACCTGGCCTACAACCCAGGCATGTGCCCTGACGGGGAATTGAACCAGTGGCCCCTCTGTTTATAGGCCAGTGTTCACTCCATGGAGCCATAGCATCCATAGGATTCTCTCCTTTACTTTTGAAGGATAATTTCACAGGTAATAAAATTCTAGGTTGGTGGCCTTTTTCTCTCAACACTTTGTAATAATGTTTCATTCCATTGTCTTCTTACTTGCATGGTTTCTGAGGAGAAATCAGATGTAATTTTCATCATTGCTTCTTTATGAATTAGAGTTCTTTTCTGACTTCTTTTAAGATTTTTCTTTATCTTTGATTCTTTTTTTTATAGTTTGAAAATATGCTTAGGTGCACTTTGGGGGGCATTTATCCTGCTTGGTCCTCCCTGAGCTTCCTGGATCTGTGGTTAACATTAACATAGGTAAATTACCAGATGTTATTACTGCAAATATTTCTTCAGTTCCATTCTTCTTCTGATACTTCTGTTTCACATGTTACACCTCCATGGTTGTCCCATGGTTCTTTAATATTTTGTTCATTTCTTTCTGTCTTTGTTCTCTTTGCCTTTCTTTTGGAGATATGTATTGATGTATTCTCAAGCTTAGAGATTCTTTTCTCAGCCATGTCCACTCTACTAAGCTTGTCAAAGACATTCTTCATTTCTCGTAGGGTTTTGGATCTCAAGCATTTCTCTTTGGTTCCTTATTAGGATGTCTGTCTCTGCTTTCTTTGCTCATTTGTTCTTTTTTAAAAAATTTTATTTACCAGCTTGAGAGAGAGAAAGAGAAACATCGATTTGCTATTCTACCCATTTATGCATTTATTGGTTGACTCTTGTATGTGCCCTGACTGGGGATAAAACCCACAACCTTGGCCTATCAGGACGACACTCTAACCAACTGAGCTGCCTGGCCAGGCTGTTCATTTGTTCTTGCATGCCGTTTACTTTATCTGTTAGAGCCCTTAGCATATTAATGATAGTTTTGAATTCCTGGTCTGACAATTCCAACATCCCTGTCATGTCTGGTTTTGATGCTTGCTCCTTCACTTCAAATTCAGCTTTCTTTACCTTTTTTTTAATAGCTTGACATGATGTACTGGATAAACGGAGCTCTTATAAATAGTAATATAGTTACTCCTTTTAGTAATTTTGGGCCAAATGTAGAGTTTCTTGCCCCTAGTTAAGGAGTAGTTACAGTTATATAGTCCAAAAATTACATTTGGTCTTTTAAAGGCAACCAGGAGGCTGATGTGGCCTCCTGGTGAAAATGAGTTGGATACCTCTGCCATATAGCATTTAACTCTCCAAGTTTTCCACACTGAGCCTCCAGCAGTTCATCGATTACAGTTCAGCTTTTCCTACCCAACACTGGTTTCCATGGCATTTATCATGAGTCCGCTCTGTGAAGCTGTTACTACCCTTACTCCCCTGTCCGTCCCTCATGTGGAAGCAGTGGTTAGCCTTGCCTGTGGACCCAAGAAAAGAAAAGTTGTTTTGTTTTGTTTTTCCGGTTCAGCTTTTTCTTTTTAACTTCTTAGGACAGAGTGGCAACTTTCAAGTTCCTTGCATGCAGAACCAGAAATCAGAATTCTGTATTACTTTTTAAATTAAACTTTAAATGTATAAGGAAAGACCTAAGTTTATATAATAAATAGGATGACTCAACATTTTTTAAAACTTTACTACTAATAGGTAATATAATTTTGGAAAATACACTATATATATAGTTTTATTAAACATAGATATGCATTCTTTTGTCACTTAAGTAGAAATTGTTTATATTTTAGATAACGTTCAGTCATCCAAGCCTAGATATTCAGGGCAGAAGTATAGAATATGTACAGCGACAAATATCCAAGGAATGTGGAAGCCTAAAGTCCCAAAATAGGGTAAGTAATCTTAGTTTATCGTCTAATAAGGAATATAACTAATGAACATATAAGTGAAATTTTCAGTCCTTCTAATTTATAACCAGATAAAACCTATAAGAATTCTATATTGTTAATTTAACTGACTGCATCAATCTCTTCACCTTCAGCCCAGACCTGGAATTTTTTAATCCCAGTACCAAGTATCTGGGGAATATACATTTGCTCCAACCTGGGTCAGGTACTTGTTTATAGAGTAGTCACTATGCCCAGGGACTGGGGCTGAGAGATACAAATATGACTTCTAGAAGGCCATATGATTTATCTTTGAAAGATTTACCTTGCTTCTTGCCCTCAAGGAGGTCATCTATCTAGATGGAGGGGCGAGGGGGGTTGTGTAAATTTGTTGTGTACATGTATGTTCATTTGATGTTGTGCGTTTAAGTCATTTTCAAAATGACTTAAGTCATTAAAAAATGACTTATTTTTTTAAGCCAAGCTTCAAAAAATACATGTTTTTGTATTAGTTTGCTAGGGCTATCATAACAGAGTATAACAGACTAGGTGGCTGAAACAACAGAAATTTATTTTCTTATGATGCTGGAAACTGGAAGTCCATGATCAAGGTGTTAACAGTTTGGTTTCTTCTGAGGCCTTGCTCTCCTTGGCTTGCAAGTAGCCACCTTTTTGTTGTATCTTCCCAATGCATTGGTCCTTCCATGCACATCCCAGTGTCTCTATGTGTCCAATTTCCTCTTCTTAGAAGTGCATCAGTCAGATTGAATTAGGGTTCATCCTAAGGGCCTTATTTGAACTTAATCGCCTTTTTAAAGGCCCTATGTCTAAATGTAGTCGCTTTTTGAAGCAGTGTAAGTTGGGGTCTCAGTGTGTGAATTTAGGGAGGATACAGCTCAACCCATAACATTTTACCCTCTGGTCCCCCTAAATTCATGACTTTCTCACATGCAAAATTCTCTCCATCACAGCAGCTCCAAAGTTTAACCCATACCAGTGTCAACACTCAGTCTCAAAGAGTGGGTGAGACTCAAGTGTGATTCATCCTGAGACAAAATAACTCTCTACCTGGGAACCTGTGAAACCAAAGAAGTTACCTGCTTCCAAAATATGATGGTGGGAAAGGCATAAAATAGACGTTTCCATTCCAAAAGGGAGAAACTGGGAAGAAGAAAGGAGTTGTGACAGTTGTCTCAAGTCCAAAACCTAGCATAGCCAATTTTATTAGCTTTTATTCCTCAAGAATAACCCTGTTTGGCTTAATGGTTGGTTCTCCAAGAGGATATCTCCACACCCTTGACCCTGGGCTTCCAGGCCAACAAGAAGTGACCCCATCCTATTGAACTGAGGAGACAGCCCCAACATTCCCAGTGCTTCCCTTAAAAGATAATGCGTGTTAGTCCTGGCTGGTGTGGCTCAGTTGGTTGGAACGTTGTCCTGTGACCAAGAGATTGTGGGTTTGGTACCCTGTCAGGTCCCACACCTGGGTTGCAGGTTTGATCTGCTGTCGAGGTGCATACAGCAGACAACCAGTCGATGCCTCTCTCTCACATCAGTGTTTTCTCTCTCTTTCTTCTCTCTTTAAAAACCATGAAAAGGCTCCTTGGGTGGGGATTTTTTTAAAAAGATAATGCATGTTTTCCGCCAGATAGCTCTATTTGCCAGTTCTTATAAGTTATAAAAACTATAATTTTGACAACCTTGATTCACTTCCTCTCAACTCCGGTCCTGTTTAGATCCATCCTGCAGCATTTCAGCCGAGATGGCTGGCAGGATCCATGATTCCACACCTTTGGTATTCTCTTCAGAACATACTTACAAGTTCTTCCTTCCACAAAACACTAGAATACAATTCATTCACATCTTTCACTGCATTATAACAAGGATCATCTTTCCTCTGTCCAGTGTTAAACATTCCTTGTTTCCATTTGGAGTCTCACCCAGAAGTACCTTTAATGTCCATATTTCTACCAACAGTCTCTTTAAGGCTTTCTAGGCTTTTTACAACATGTACCTCAAAACTCTTTCAGCCTCTACCCATTACCCAGGTCCAAAGCCATTTCCACAACTTTAGGTATTTGTTACAGCAACCCATTTTTGGATACCAAAATATGAGTCAGGGTTCTCCAGAGAAACAACCAATAAGATGTGTATATATCCAAATTCGTGTAAGGCATTGGCTCATGTGATACTGAAGGTAAAGGTACCTACCCAAAATCTATGGAGGGTAAGCTATTGGGCTTCAGATGCAGAGTAAAGTTGTAATCGGTCTTTGTTCTGTTAATTTGGATGAGGTCCACCTATGTCATGGAAGATAATTTTCATTCATCATAGCCCACCAGTTTAAATGTTGATCTCACCCAGGCAAGGTCTTTACATAAAACATTCAGAATAACGTTTGACCAAATATGTGGACACTGTGACCCAGCCAAGCAGATACACAAAATTTGCATTTACAGTCCTCATTGCATTTTTCACTTCTTTCCTTTTCAGTTTCCTGTGAAGTCAATCCGACATGTCAGCTTCCAAGATGAGGACGAGATTGTCAGAATAAACCCTCGAGATATCTTAATACGTCGCTATGCAGACTACAGACATCCTGACATGTGGAAAAATGACTTGGAGAGAGATGATACTGACTCCAATATTCAGTTTTCTAAACCAGACAATAAAAAATCAGACTATCTATACTCTTGTGGGGATGAGACTAAGTTAAGTTCACTCAAAGACTCTGTGGCACTTAAGACACAGCCTTCCTCATTAAAATCTAAGAAGTCAAAACGAAGAAAAGAAGATGGTGAACGTTCTCGCTGCGTATACTGCCAGGAGAGGTTTAATCATGAAGAAAATGGCAGGGGAAAATGTCAGGATGCTCCAGACCCTATTAAAAGATGCATATATCAAGTTAGTTGCATGCTCTGTGCTGAGAGCATGCTGTATCATTGTATGTCAGACTCAGAGGGAGATTTTTCTGATCCCTGTTCGTGTGACACTAGCGATGACAAGTTCTGCTTACGATGGTTAGCCCTAGTAGCTTTGTCTTTCATTGTACCTTGTATGTGCTGCTACGTCCCTTTGAGAACGTGCCATCGTTGTGGTGAGGCATGCGGGTGTTGTGGTGGGAAACATAAAGCTGCTGGATGAAAGGATCCAGTGCTGAAATGAGCTGAAAATCTTTGTTTCCAGGAACTAGCTAACTTGGATTTGTGGACGCTTTTGGCAAGCAATACGAAGTCTTGCCTGGTGTCGTAGGGGCCACACGTGCAGGAAGCAGAACTCATCAGTTCTTGGCATTTCACACATGCTAGCCATGCCTAACTTTTCCCTTGAGTGCATGGCATGTTTTGTTACAGGTTGTAAAAAGTATTTGCAAAGGGAAACCATTTCTGGTTATTGGCTATAAAAAGTGAGCCTAAAATACTAGCCAACTAAGCGAGAGTAATTTCTGGCATTTTTGTATATTTATGCATTAGGTGATGGGACTTTTAAAGGTTTGAATTCATGCACTAGGGGACAGCTGATTTCAGTCTAAGAAAAGTTAACATTTGGGAATTATAAGAAGTTAAACAAGTGCAACTAAATCATTTATTGTTTTTTGAAAGCAGTTTTATGTATAAATAACAAATGTTTATATTTAACTAAATATAAGGTACGAATTATGACATATTAAACTTTTCTTCCGTTCCTAGTTCGGAAGTAGATGTATATATATATCTACTGTCACATTCCATTATATTTGAATATTTTACTCATCTAGTTAATAACATTTTTATTCCATGTGAATGATTTGATATTTTCACCCTCATTTTCCCTTTGGCTACGATTTATATTGAGTTATGTCTGTACATTCTGGTAATCTAAAATTCTTAAAAATATTCTAATAGCCTTGAGTGACCAACTTTTTTTTAAAGCACAGATGTAATTGTCTAATGTTCTGATGGGAACATAACACTTATTTTTATATAAAAAGTGACTGAGTAAACATAGAAAAAAGAGGTTTGGGGTTGTTGTTCTGTTTTTTTTTGTGGTATTCAACCAGCAAGTTGTTTTCTTTCAGATTTTCCTCCTTCAAAAAAATTATATTGCATTTACAAATATTTTACAAGGCAAAAAAGTGTAACTGGATAGTTTAGTATAAAAGTTTTCTCCCGAGATTTCCATTTATCATTCCAGTAAACCAGAATTTGTTCAGCTATGTTACTAATTTTTTGGCTTAATCCTCAGTCCTTATTATTCACATAATAATAATAATAATAATAGCTTTTATGTTAAAGTGTATGCTAAGCTGTCCCCGGATAATCCAACTTTGTGTATGAAATATCCTGTGCATACAAATTTATTTCTTTTTCAAAGTATTGTGTTAATGGATGTTTTAATTACAAAGTAGTTGGATAAATATTCTAACAAATTGTTTGAAGTACTTTGAGATCAAATTCTCTCTTTTTTTTAAGTGTTAACATTTAAACTCTAATCAGGTGAGGGGTTCTTTAAGAACATTCCTTAGAGGGATAGAAGTGAGAACCATGCCTTTCTTTTTTAATGGCTTGAAGTTTCAGGAGTGATAAGCATTAAAATCACACTACCATTTGAAGCTCATGTTCTTCTACACAAGTTTTTAAGTGTCATTTATGTATCATTCATTTCACATTCACAGTTAAGCTTATGTTACCTGTCTTTTGCCCCAGATCAAACTGAACAATGTATATAACACTGTCTGTAAAATACTTTTTTTAAGAAAGCATTTATATTTATATGACAGCTTGAACTGACAACATTGTGTATATAGATCATCTTGAAGTATTATTTCACATTGAAAAGAAGAAAAATATATTGATAACTATAGATGTTATGAAGAAGAGGTTATTTCTAGTTTTGTACTAAAAATCAATTGGATGAACTGAATCCAAACATGACACAGTAGCAGCAGTTTTAAGTCTTGTTTTTCCTGTTTATATATTGGGGATACTGCTACATCAGATGCTCTTCATCCCTGAGGTTTTCGGCTCAACTTGGTTACCTAGGATAGACTGTTAACTTTCAAAATTAATTTTTATTGGCGGAATGGAAATAATTGGTTTTCCTTGTGAATAAATTTTCATATTTGTAAGTGTGGAGCTTATAATTCAGGTTTGAGCAAGGTGTGAATAACTGAAGAAAACAACTTGCTGGCTATATAGGAAAATGCTGTGGAAGTGAACTGTGTATATACTTCTAGGAAGAACAAATATAATAATCATTTCTCTGTTAAGCACTAATCGGTATAGTGCAACTCCTGGTTCTGTACTGTATTTTATATGCAACATATATGCTTTAATATTTTAATGTTTGTGCATTAATATTTTCAGATTGTTTTAACCACTTTGCTGCTAAGACTTTGCCGTCCTGTCCCCATTTTTTCCTTTACAATTTTAAATAAGTTTCTTCATTAAAAACTATGGTGATAAAACGGTTTTTATTTCACCTTGGATCTTTATAGTTAACACACCCAGTTTCCAAATTGGTCCAGAAGACTAACTAGTAATGTAATGTTATCTGAATCCCTATGTGGAAAGTTTTCTCTTGAGTAAATTACAGTTATAATGTGAAAACTAATGGGTGGTTTAAATTTCTTGTTTCAAATGTATATAGGTACGTTCAGGGACATTTCTTCATTCTGCATATAGATTTGGCACTGCTTAGTTGGCTTTCCCTTTAAAACCTTTCTCTGCTTTTAATCTGGTAGTATAAGCAAATGGCTAAACGAAACTGCAATGAAATCATCTTGATGGCATAATAAGAAACACCTTGGTCTGATGGCTTCTTGTGTTCAGAGCCGATCATTTGTAAGTGATTTTTCTGCTGCATTGAAGGTGGTGGGGGCCTGAGGTGAAGGAATCTTGATTTCTGAAGAAACGTGATGTATGGAACTTCAGCACCACCTACTGGATAATTTATAGGCCAGACGTGAGGTGGCAGTTAGGATCTAACAGGGTTCATCACCAGCAAAGGGCTATTTAAGTGGTGGCCACTGCCAAATGGAGAAAGCAGGAGTGGGAAATATTTCGAAACAAATGTAAAAGGAATCTTCAATGTGTCTTGTTGGTTGCTGAAAGGTTTCAAGCACTTTTTTTCTTACATATTCTGTATTAAAAATATTTATTGATATTTGAAACTGGCAATCAAACTTAATTAATGGATATGCCGAAGCATTTATAGAACCAATTCTTTCAACTTGCTAAAGCCATGACTGAAATGGTATTTTTATTTCTCTTCCCATTCCTAGTCAGGGAGAATTTTTTTAAATAAACATCACCTGTATTACATCAAGACAACTTCAGAGGGACTATGTGTTTATGTCTCTGGGGTGCTGGGGTGAGGGTTCAAATATAAAGGGGAAAACTTGAAACTACCTATTTTCATTGGCTATTCAGCAGTGCCTGGTATGAACTTTTGAAGTAACACAAATGCACTTTCAATTCTTGTTATAGTGCCATCTGATGGGTAAGTCTTGCTTTTTCTTGTATTTTTCTCCCTCATTCACCTCCTATTGCCATTTAATTGAACACCACAAAGATGTTTCTTAATATCCATGTAAGTCACCGAAGTACAGGAAACAGTACCTTCCTCCAGATTTAAAGAATCTTAAGGATGTTTCTTATGTTAAAATTGGTTTTCAGTCTTGTGATTGCACTTTAAGGCATGTGTTTAAGATTGGATTTTTAATTTTAGCCCCAAAATACATTAAGCAGGTATAACCGTTTTCTACATAAAACTTGAAACCTTAGTTACCTTGAAAAAACACAAAATCTTGACTAAACAGTCTCTTAATTTGACTTTCAGAATCATTTCTAAATATAAAAGAAAGCACTAGAAATTGCATCATTGTTGCACTTAAAAAAATGGTCTGTAGACCAGGATAATCATCTCACCATAAGGTGTTTGCAGTAAGTCAAAACATTAAAAAAATCACAACCTGAGGTGATTTATATAAACCAAAAAAAAAAGGGCTTTAAGGTATTAAGGTACTGTTTGCCTAGCAGCCAGGTGGTTATGAAACTTGCATATGCTTTGATTTACTGATGATGTTAGCCATTGTTTCTGAAAGCTCCTTAAATTGCATAAGTTGCTAGTTTTGAAATTTTTCAGAAGTAATCTAGTTGAAAAGCTTTTGTATTAAAGATACATGTAGATTTTTGTGAACATTGCCGGTGTGTAGTGTCATTTGCTTTATTCTTGATCTCAAAAGTGCCTCACTTGTACATTGCTTCCATTAAAAGCTTGATCACATTCTTTCTAATAATGAAGTATTGTTTAACTCATTTAATGTATCTCCTTAGATATAGTTAACTAGCTTGATAGTTTTTTGGGTATGTAATGTAAATATGCATATATAAGTTTGTAACTGTTTTTGTTACATCGTACCCATGTAATTGGACATATCAGATGATATCAAAGAACTTGTTTGAATTACCTGATTAAACCTATCATGAAATATAAAAGGACTTTCTCTGACTCGTCTAGAAGATAACAACTGTCACATAAGAAATAATAATTGCCAGAGGAGAAAGCAATAGTAGAAATGAAAGCTTTTGATTATAATTTTTAAAGTATATTGTTAAGTGAAAGTTCAAGTATAGTGACTTACATATTCATCCTTGATGGTATCCAGATTTTTTAAAATAGTCTGTTACCTAATCCATTATATTTATCAGTTTGGGAATAGGTTACAAGTAAGTCTAGATTAACCAACCTAATTGATAGGTGGGAAATTTTTTAACCTAACACTGCTACTCAATTGTGTGTGTGTCTCTTAGGAAGTTTCAAAGTGTGATTTAACTTGGAAACAAAGATAGCCAGTAATTTAGATGAAAAACTGTTGGGGCAATACTCAGGAACCATAGTGTATTTCAACAACAGAATAACCTTTGAATTACTATATTACAGTTACATTTGTTTGAAAATCACGAATTAACTGTTTATACTTTAACTATGAACTGTGACATGTAATCTTGTGTTTATTCACAGGTTTTCAGAAACGTGCTTTATATTCTTCACATCAAGTTAATACCCACAAGTAAGCAGGACAGATTTTACATCACAGAAATTGAAACTAGGGCTCCCTCTTGCTCATCAGTATAGTTCATGCGCACAATGGTCCTTTAAAAAAGTCAGTTTTAATTAACAAGAGCTAGAGTCAACTCATTTAAATTAACCGCTTTAAGATTTGCACTTTTAGACCCTTAAAATGATGCTCAAAAAATACAATTCATAGAAAAGTCTAACTGCAAAGTCATAATAGAAATATTTTGTCTAGCAGTCTTTATTTTTATTAATGTGTTTTAAATTACCACTATTAATCCTCAGGTAACCCTGTCATGTAGTATCCTCATTTTACTAAAGAGATTTAGGCTTCAAGAGGTTAATTAAAAAATATTTTCAAGATCACGAAAGAAGCACCAGGATTTGAGCCATAGTCTACCCACTCCAAAGCTCACATTATTAGTCACAATGCACTTCTGCTTTTTGTTACAAAAGTTGCAGACGTACTTCATAGAATACATGTTTTGTTAAAATGCAATTTTTAAAAATGAATAACTTTTAAGGGAATAATTTCTTAATTTGTACTCACATTTGTTTCAGTTCTGGCCCTGCTTTTTATCTTTCTCACTGGGTTGGGCACCGTCCACCGCATGGCCTGTGGAGATCGTGAAACTGGGAGAACAGGGATAACGCTTCAGTATGTATCAGTCGTGGGCCAGTCCGACAGAAAGCACTGAAGACACACACAGTCCAATGTGTGGTTTGGGTCATTTTGCTCAATTTGTATTTTCCTGAATATTTTGAGTCAGAGGGATTCTTTTTCACCCAAGTGATGATGCTCCCTCTTGAGACAGCAGGGAAAAAAGTGTTCTCAAATGAGTCTTACTCTGCATTCTCTTTTCAAATGGTCTGCCATTTGCATATCAGTTATTCCTCAAGGGCTGTGTTTGAACCAGAGCTGCACATCCAGGCTACCTGCACATGCGTCAGAATGACTATGTTAGTGTCCCCTCTTCCCTCAAACTTAATTTTAACCTGCAAATAGTTCACTGTAACCTAGGTTGTATGCATAAGGAAAGAAGTTGGGCAGAAAGAATTCCAGGATTTCTAACAACGAAATCATTCTGGATGGTAAAACTTAAGGCGACCTGTGCAAATTGTGTTCCCATGGCTTTGTCATTCTGCATTTTGAAATTGCAAGAGATTTAAATTTTTTTAGTTTTTGAAA